CCCAGAGCAGGCTAATCCTGCTAATCCTTGGGAAGGCACAGAGACAGCCTTCCGCTCAAAGGATTGACATACAAGCAGTAATTCTTTGAAAACAAAATCTTATTTATTGAAAGAAAATAAGCAGTTACAATATATCCAATAAAGCAAGAAAGAAAGCATTACAGTATATAATAGGTAGTAAGGCACACTTACATTGCACTTCAAGATCATACATTCAAACGGCACAAGAGACTACACAGATTGTATGGCAAATACAATGTTGTAATATTGGTACACTGACCCTTTCATACATATGCATGAGGCTTTTAATACACTAACGTGACATTAGGCTCATTACAATGTAGCATACACATTCCCTATGCACATGTACAACATAGTATTACAATATAACATTAAAGAGCATTAAAGTAGTTAATATCATTCTGCGAGTGCTGGCCAGATGATCACAGAATAGGTGGGATGCATTTCATTCAAACACAAGTTTCAGCTTTATTTACAGACACACCCAATCATTCTTTCAAGAAAGAGACAGAGAGTCAGACTTACACTCGATCTTTCTAAGTCCCTCTGAACCATCTTGGTCCTTCTGCTCTGTCAGAATGGTGGTCTCCGCTCAATTAATAACTGCTGTCTTCTCCTATTTGTGCTCTGTTGTCTTCTCCTGCTATTCTCGATCTTCTGCTCTCCTTCTTCCTGCTTTTGCGCCCACACACACAGCCTGCTGGCTGTTTCCTTTTATTCAGTTTCTGGCCTTCTCTGATTGGTTGCTGTCTCAAGTTCAGTAATTAGCAACCTTGCATGGGTGGCAACAATTCAACCAATCAGCTCTGCCTATCTTTTGAGCTGATCCCCCTCCTAACCTCTCCCTTCAGGTATTTTGGAGTGAGTTGAGTCATCCCTGTTTGAACTTTATTTCACCCGTTTCTTATCTGCTATTGGTCAATTTAGTCTGTGTCCTCCATTTTTGATGTTTCTAATACAAAAACAGTGTGGCTGCCATTTTGAATGTTTAGCTATAAACTATTAATTATACCTTATCTAAAATGTCAAATCTAAAACTAACTACCGTTTTATGCAAAGTTAAGCATTATGATACTGTCACTACCTTTGTTATGCTAATTGGGAGCGGTGAATTGTTCACGATATCTCTCATCCTCCCTCTCTCTGCTTGTCAGTATCTCTATGCCTGTCTCTGACCGGCGTGCTGCAATCTTTATACAGGATCAAAGCAGGTAAAAATCTCCTGTATCACACTTACTATTCAGTATATTTGTACAACAAATATCAACCTCAGACACCCCGGAACATTTAAATGTGTATTAAGGTTGTGATTTTATGCAAGCAACTCAAAAGAACCATATATTATTTTCCTTAGAAATACCACAGTAACACCTAGAACCCTTAATAAGAACCTCTGCTACAGAGCTTAATCCCAAAACTGACTGATGACAAAAATCGTCAAACATAAGCAAGAGTATTTTAAAAAAAGCCTCTTCAGGTCTTCAATAATTGAGCTGACAAAACAAAACAAAAATAAATAAATCACACTTTGTCTATATTGGATAAATATGCAAACTAAGAATATGGGTATGTCTGCACTGCAATTACAAACCCATGGTTGGCCCATGTCAGCTGATTTAGGGACCTGAGGCTTGTGTTAAGGGGCTGTTTAATTGTGGTGTAGACATTCAGGCTTGAGCTGGAGCCTGAGCTACGGGACCCTGTGAGCGGGGAGCGTCTCAGAGCTTGGCTCCTGCCAGAGCGTCTACACCATAGTTAAATAATCCCTTATCACAAGCCCCAGGTGCTTGAGTCAGCTGACATGGGTCAACCATGGGTTTGTAATTGCATTGTAGACACACCCATAGGGGCTTGGATGCCTTCTGGAGATGCCAGTCTAAGGGACCACATATGCTATAGAAATTACCCACATAATAATGATGTTATAAAAAGACCTGTATACCAGCAGTAATCTTGCTCTCATAGTTTTCATTTACTTTTTTTTTTTTAAATTCATTTTGAGCATTGCCCCATTCTTCATGGAACTCTTGGGTTCCCACCAATGCTGATTTCCAAAGTCACAGAGCTCACATTTTAACATTGGAGAATATTTATGGCCTCCTGTATCCATGATTGTTCAATCATCTGAGCTAGCTAGTAGCCCTGGAAATGAAATCATACAAAAATAAAAAGTTTCAGGAATATGAAATTGTTTTATTTTTAGATTTTGCAACGTTTTCATACGTGTGTCAGATTATGTACAACAGCAACTATATACACCCATTATGTCCTAGGCGGACTTTGCTTTTATTACTCTCCTGTATCTTTGAAAACTCACTCTCTCCTCCTTCCTTCCCTTTCCTTCTCCTTTTTCCTCTTTCCCCCTATGGAGGCAGTTCTCCCCTTTCTGTTTTATTTAAGATCAACCTGTAAAAATCAATAAGATAGTTTGATTTAAAAAATTGCATTCTTTTGAGCTACAGGCATTTTGCACACAACAGCATCTTATAGGTATGATTCCAAGGAGAACCAGGAATATTTATTGTTTTATTAATACACAACATTTATAAGCAAGTTCTTCTTGCAAATGACATGTTCATATTCTGCTAGTTCCAGGAGCTACATTGGGAACCCACATATAACCAGCTCAGGATTACAATAATTATGTAAGCCTACAATAATAGTTATATTGCTTAGGAATGAAGGTGTGTTTCCAAATCAATTTATTTGACTAAATAACCACTATTACCCCATTATCTATTCATTCACCATAAATTTTGTCATATCTTATATCTTGCCTTCCTTGCATTTGTTATATACATAAAGAACCCTCAACTGAACCATTATGGTGTATACATGTCTGAAATTAGCAACTGTATTATCGTATTGCTGTAATCCACATCCTCTTTCACTCCATGCCCTCCTTTCTTCTGACCATCCCAACTTGCTGAGTCCCCAATTAATATTTACATTATGAACTCTTTAGAGCATGGGAATCATGCCTTTCTTTGTTTTCTGTCAAGCATCTATTATGTTTTCGGACACTATAAAATAATAAATACAATGGTCCATCTTGGCAGCTGAGTGGCATTTTGAAGTACATAAGAATGCATCTCTGATGGCAATATGCAGTAAATCAGAATTTTTAAAAAAAAGATACATCAAAAATTACATAATTTTAGTTAAACAAATCTGTGTGGGAGAGTATAATTGTATTTTGGAAAACTTATGCGATTCTCATTTGCATTAGTGAAGCCTCATTTAGAAGGATGAAGAAATGGAACAGACCTACAAATAGTGAAGGGCCTGATGTTTACAACACCTCCAGCTCCTTAGGACTTCAACTGGAGTTGCAGGTACTCAATACGTCTGAAAACTGGGCCCAGAGATTTATGTACTGTTCAGATAATCCAGTTGTGAGTAAAGATTTATGTTGTTTTAATTTCCACAGGAATACTAGATAAAGTTTCATATTCATATGTACAGTTGTCACCATTAAAAAGCAAACACAGTCAACAGATTTCACAATTTGTTTCCTACATTAAGATCTTGGGCTATTTTTTATTTATTCCACTTTTTCCCCCCCAAAGGAAGTGATCGCTTTGCTCACTTGAACAGCTTCAACAATGTAAGATGGGAGATGGCTTAACATTTCTGAACTTTAAGCATTTCTGAATTGATCCAGTTACTAAACTGATTCAGCTAGTTTTTAGCATAGTGGAAGATTAAGAACTAAGGACTGCATATGGCTATCTATTGAAACACACCTTGCTATCCACTTAGCTCCTACTGTTTCAATTGTCCATTATCAAACAATTTCCTTTAGTAGTGTTGGCCAATGAAAGCTAGAAAATATTGTGCAAAAGTCTTGTTCTTTTTTCTTTTTTTAACATGGCATCTCATATTTCATTCAAAATAGAAAGACCCAGCTTTCCATGAGGACTGGCAGATGAGACTTTCTTCTAGAGTATTAAAGGTTTAAAATTATGTGAAGACCATCTGACATTTGCTCCAATTAGATTATTTGACGAGTTATAGAGATAACAAGGCTTGCGAGATAGACAGTAGCTTTCTGTAATACTGCCAAGTTGTCTTCAAGGAGGAGGATGTACCTCTCTTCCTTCTCTCTCAAACATTTTTTGTAACTGTCTTTCCAAAAAAAGCTTTTACATTCAGAGATTCTACGTTGTTGCACAGGGCAATCAGTGATGTACAGGCACAGATATGTAAAATATAGAAAAGGGACCTGAACCAAAAAATATTTCAAAACGTTTAGCAAAGATTATGAAACTGTGTTTTCTGTAAAGTTAGTTGAAAATGGAGCATTTCTCAAAATCTTGACAATAGACATCATAAAAATAATAGTGTACACAAGAAATTCCAACAATATGGTAATATTTTGGGAAATATACAATTCAAATGATACAGTCTTATGTACAAGTTTAACAGAATTCTATGGTGTTAACATACCAAGTATTCAGTATTGTTAGTGCTGGGGACATGTGAGGAATGGAAAACTAAAGAAACAGATACTGCCAACCTCCTCTTTCTGTTGACTCTGGCACAGAAATGCATTCTCTCAATATGGATAAAAGAGACCATTACCACATGGTCCAACATGGTCCAGCTGGATGAATCTGATTGAAGATGCACTGAGACTGGAACACATTACAAAAAACTTCTAGCTAAAGCAAAGTGACTTATGAAAAACATGATTACAACTTTGGAATATTTTCAAGCAGAGGGAGGTTGACCTCCCTCAAGCATGTACCAATTACTAAAAAATGATCCAAGTTTGCCTATTCCATGGATCAAATATGTTTTCTTGTACCTTGATGTTTATTTAGGGGATTCTATTAATGAAAAATATTACTTTGTTTGTAAAGCATTAATCATTATTAAATTCATAAATTGCTTTAATCACAACATCCTCTCAAGTACATTTGATTTTTCTGTCAAATAAGGAAACAATCACTATAATAAACAGAAACTCAGACACAAAAGCAATATGCCAATTTATTTATTATTCCCTCTATACTACTGGAGTACATTTGATTGAACAAGTTTCCAAAATCATGCAAATTTCACTAAAGTACAAAGTATTTGCTACAATGACATTCAGATACATTATTTAACTGACTGAAACACAAACAATTTAATACTCTATCATAAGAAAGCTGGTACACTATATTATCACTGAACTTCTGATTTTTAAATGTTACTTTTAAAATGGCAAACACTTATTACTTTTTCCTTTCTATAACCAGGTGAAAAACAATATATTAGTGAAAGGGCATACAGAACAATACTTCATAAATTCAGACAATACTTGCAAACACTGTCCTGATGTAACAGGAGTTACAACTATTTAGTGCAACGCTTGTGAAATTACATACCAACAATAAATAGAGCACTCACTAAATCAACGAGAGAACATTACATACTAAATATCTGTTAATTCTAACACTATATCCAGACAATGTCCTCTACAAATCAGCACAATGCACAAATAAAATTGCCAGAAACAAAAGCAATTAGGTGATAAAGATGTACAGTTTGCCAATCATGTATCTTAATACTTAACCAACATATTCTATTTCATATGTTGCACACACTTTTGGAGATCAACTAATTAATGAAAAGTATGAAATTTCATGTTACCAAGGGCCTGAGGGATTTTAATATTGTGTCTTCTGGCTTCTGTAAATTCAGATGGCAACACATGGTACAATGTTTTTCTAAAAGTAAGCTATTTAATTGGAATTTTTAGAAGGGATAACAAAATGTGAGTTTGTGCATTGCAGCAGACATTTAATGTCTATGTTTTACTTTTATATGAAATACTCCTGACCTACTTAATCCTAAAACATCTTTTCCACAAAAATTCTTTGTCAAGGAATTTGATTCCCATGCAGAAAGACATGAACTGCTTTCATTTGTGGAAAAGAGCATTATATTTACTAGCAGTATAAATTAGGGGGAGGGGTAATGAAATATTTTATTGTGTAGGTTATTTTTTCTTTCAAAAAAAAAAAAATGCCTGGAAAAAAATCCAGGTTTGTTAGTGGAGGCTACTGAAAGAGATAAAAAGTGTCTAGCATGATCATGAACTGACAAACCAGGGATTTAAAGAAAATTATGACATACAGACATGCTCTGTTTTAATTTTGTTTGTTTCTTTCACAGAATACTCTCTCTCTCTTCTCCAAAACCTGTAGCGTCTGAGGCTGTAACACCATGGAGCTCTGAAGAATCTTTCGAAAGCCTGGTATAACTTGAACGCTGGCTTCGCTTGTGAGACACGCTTTTTAGGTTCTCATTCTGAACTGCAGTTGAGTTGGAGCTGGAGCCAGGGCGCAGGATGATTTGAGAAGAATCTCTGATATCTTCAATTTCTTCAAAATTTTGATTAGCTCGATTGGCTGGAGCACTGTTATTATTTAGGGTGACTGTACTAGGTGTTCTGTTTAGATTATAGACTTTCTGGCAAGCAAGCCAGTTCTCTTCAGGACTGCTTGCTATTAAGCTGCTCTCTGAAGGGCTTTTCTTGTCTTCCGAGCAAATTGACATGCGTGCCACAACTGGATCTTGAAGGCCACTCAGACTGTGTGGAATTCCTCTCTTTCCACTGTGGCTGTCATCTTCAAGCTCAATGAGATTTGCTTTTTCAAGCTGTGAATCATCCGCTCCATCATTGTGGAGGGAGTGGTTTGGAGAACTTTCACTGGACCTCACACCAGAGTCAGAGGAATCCTTTTTGTCTAAAAGGGCGTCTGTCAAGTACTCCTTTGCTTTGATGAAGGTTCTAATAGGCTCAGATCCATGTTCTGGGGATTTTGTTTGCTTGTCCACTTTCCCATCAATTTTCTTGTCCTTTCCTTCCTTGAGAAGTGGAGTGTTATCTGATTCTTCTGTTCCAGACTCATCTTCATCACTTGGCAGTTTCTGATAGCGCAGAGTAACTCCTTTTAGTTTTAAATCTGCTGCCTGGAAAATGCTTGTTCTTTCTGAAGATTTCTTTCCTGGAAGAAGCTTGGAACCAGACTGATCAGATTTTTCATCTTCTTCAGTGATAGGGTCCAAAGGAGATGCATCATTAGTGGAAACACCTGAAGTACTGTAATCTACAACATCACCCCTCTTCATCAGAAAGGACTTTCGTCCATCATCTTGTTTCTGTTCACCATCCTTTCCTTTTTCTTGTTCTATACTGGAATGGAGGGAGCCCCCTGATGTGCTCTGCCCCATATAGAAAGCTGAGGTGCTATGTGGGGAAGATCTGCCACTTACAGTGGTAGAACTTGCACCTCCTTCTAGCTGTGACATTTGAGCAATATATTCTCTATATGCATCTCTGTATTCTGCCTGCACCTTATCAGTAAGCTTTGAGATTTCTACACTAGAATCTTGAGAATTGAGACTTGAAAGACTTGGGGTTCTGCGAGTTTGTGACTGGAAAAAAAACAAAAAAAAACAATAAAACAAAACCATTTATTATTATCCTTGTTATTTTAATATAACCAGAAGCAATAGCATATATGTATGAATGAAAAACTTTTGTCTGTAATGCATCATGGCAGTTAAATTCTTAAACAACCATTTAAAAGATCTGGATAAATGCTTAATAGTCATATTTGTATTCACACTCATTCATCAACTCCACAAAACACTGTCATTTCTGTTCCATTGCAAAAAGAAAGTACATACAAATCTGTATTTTATGAAAACATTTAAAGTTTATCCTATTTGAAGAGACTTTATAATTATTAAATTCATTTGATGTATTGAGTTTAGGTATTTACATATGTATATATGATTTTTTTCATTTAAATTTTAAGGACAATTCATTGCCAACAAACATTTGTGAGGGAGAATTTTGAAAATAATTAAAAGCATTAGTGTTGAATATATACTACTGAAACTTTCATTGTATTTAGCTGGTTTCAGAAAAATCAGACTCTCAGATTAAGAAAATGAACTCTGTTCCTCACCTCTTCTCTCTTTGCTCCTTCTCTTTCACTTATTCTCTCTCTTCCACCTTGCTCTTGGTCCTACATGCATTTTTTTTTTCTGATTCTTTCCTTTTTTCCTCAAAAACTGTTCTTTAGCAAGCAATCATGTGCAAGAAGCCATAGGAAGGATCTTACCTGTGGACTGTAGTTTTGTTACCCCCTCTGTACTACTACTAAGGTCTTGTGATTTATTAAATATTACTAACAGCTTTTCACAAGATTCTTTTCTATGTACTAGGATTTTGTGAAGTTGCCAAACACGATTAATGCTGAATAAAACAATGGCTAAAAATAAGCATCTTGTATATTCAATGAAAGACAACAAGCTGCAATTCAGTGCCCATAATGAAACACTGCAGTCTCAAAGATGGATATGGTCAGTTATGTATGCCTATTCCCTATTAAATAGAGCTAAATAAATTCACAAAGGAGTATTTAATTTGGCTATCCATTTCCAAAAGGTGCCTTTTCCCCTTTAGATGAGCCGGTTTTTGTTTATTTATTGATGCAAACTTGCTATATATCCTCTGAATGGTGGATTCCAATGCTTCCCAAAAGTAGACAGTCAAACTGACTAACTTCTTACTTTTCTGAATTAATGTTTCTCTCTCTATTGTGGTTCTAAAGTTTTGATTTTTTTTTTTTAATGTCTTTCAAAATCTTTGTTTCTATTATTCCTGGGCTCTTGACATATAATGAAAAACTATAAATAAAAGACAGTGAGCTACACCATATTGTTGTTGAAAAGGACATATTGAGACTGGATTCTACCTGAAGTGTTCATAAGAAACACTCATTTACGTCCTAAATCATTTTGTGTACATTTCAGTTATAACTATGATGATTAAAAAGATTGGCCAAGAGTTGTAATTAGTGATTTTGGGTGCCTCAGTTTCTGGGTGCTCAACTTGAAATACCTGATTTTCAAGAAGTGCTGAGCATTGACCCTCTGAAAATCAGGCCTCAATTTTTTGGGTGCCCAGAATTTGAGGCACTGAAAATCACTAGTTACTTTTTAAAATCTTGATCATTGCCTTAAAAACATTTATTCATTTATCAACTGTTTAATCCCTGTAAAGGCCCCATATATCTAAAACTGTTCATACTTAGTGTGATTTTGGAAATTATAAGCCAAAAATTATATGCACAAAACTTGTGGGAGAATGAGAGGAGGGTCCCAAATCCAGAGTTTAACGCTGGATCACTTGCCAACACAGGACCCAGGCTCTGACATCCATCAGTACTGTGCATGTTAGAATTAATAAAATAAAATTAAAAAGTCATAAATATATTTCTCAACCTTTGAGTGGTGCATGCTGGTAGCAAGTTATTAAAATATTTACCATTTGTGAGGATTGAACAGTATGATTAATAGAATTTATCTGATGAAATATCTAGTATTTACCATGCCTTATGCAAGGTGAACTAAGTACTTTAGTCATACTCTCCCCCTGGAGGGGAATTACCAGGGAGGAGGAACAGCTATTGGGGAGTGAGAGAAAATGAGGATGAGGCAGTGGAAATTGTTTATTTGGGGTTGTTCCCTACTCTCTCTCCAAACTATGGTCTTGGGGCAAGACAGGGAGTTGAGAGGGTATCTGGATAGACAGAGTGAACTTGCAGCCTGCCCTGTCATCTAACAAAGAATAATTTCCCACATATTAGGTAAACAAAATACATCTCTTTAGTAAATACCTGCCAGCTCAAATTACTGTGAGGTGGAGGAGCTTCATCGAGACCAATTGTGTTCAGTTCTTCAAAGCTGAAGTTGAGAGCGTAGGGAACCTGAGCAGAAATTCCTGTAAGCTCAGTGTGAGGCAATTCACTATTATGCACAGGACGATGTACAAGCTCATTGTGAGGAATCACATTGGTAACATGTTCACTCACTGCACGAGAATCTTCATGAACAACCTGATTTTCTGTATTTCTCATTTCGAGTACCTTAACGTAAAAACAGTACAAATGTCATTACACAGCAAAGCAAGATAAAATGGTTCGAGCAAGTAATCTTTCTTAAATTGTAACAATTATATTCCAAACAAAAGGAAACAGGAAAATGTAACTTGTTTTTTTAAATTGTAAAATTGCATGTGTGTTTCTGAATGATTCACCAAAAAAGACTACTTGGGAGAGTCTTTATGGAACTGTCCTCATTGTCTGCAATGAAAATCATTCTTAATATTTAGTTACTGTACACAGCCTTTTTAAAGCATTAACATGCCAAAGACTATCAATTTTCAAGTATACAAGTCCTGTAAAACAAAATACTAATTACAAGTTTAAGAGTGAAAAACAAATACCACAGTTAACAGTTTTAATAAACGTCAGTATCACAATAAAACATTGTCTAGGTAACCATGAATATTTACAAGTCTGTGAATTAGCAGCACAAACATATTCTGCAGTATAGGAGTAGAGAATCAACAGCACTCAAACATCTTTGTGGAGAATTTAACAGTCTGATGCCTGTGCCTAGCTCCCATTAACTATGTTATTTACCCTCAAGCTGAGGGAAGAACAGATCTTTTAGTATACATGTATGGCTTAACAATATCAGAGATACAGCTGCCCCTCACTGTATGGCTTGTGTAAGTCCAATACTACCAATACTTTAATAGTTTGAGTTTTAAGATGCAGCCAACGTAATGATACGTGCTTACACATTTACCATGAGAAGTGACTTATAGTACCAAGGAAAAAGCAAAATAAATGAGGAGTTCTAGATCAAATGTAAAACAACAATCAGCTCTCTCTTTATAAGGTAAACTTAAGAAAAGCTCAAAATGTTATCTTACTGTGCTTCTGAACAGGTGCCAGTCACCAAAATTCATGTTCATCTCTCGCTTCAGTTCATCGATGTTACATTGAGCCAAGACACGACCGTTTATGTTTGCCTAAATAAAATAAGTAACACTGTGTAAAAAGTACTTGGTGCCTTAAAAAAAACCTGTAAATATTTCATAATAAAATTCATTTTATCCAGAAATCATCTTGGACTCATACAAGGATTTTATATTTCTAATTTATCATTTACTTGAAACAATATTTCTTTTTAGTAATCTTGACTTTGCTTTTCAATCCTTAAGGTTCTTTTAAACAATAGAGGTTACCTTGGAAGCCTTGAAGTATATGCCATGGACTACCAAATGGCAATTTCAAGGTCAAATCCCAATTCCTTGACTGGGTAAAGGAGAACTGTGGTGGTGACAAACTCTCTACCCAAAGATGAAAAGTCATGTGTTACTCTAAAGAACAACTGATTGATCAGGAACAAATTTACTAGAATTTTAGTCACACCTGAATACACCTCTACCCCAATATAACGCAACCCGATATAACACGAATTCTGATATAACACAGTAAAGCAGTGCTCCGGGGGGGGCGGGGCTACGCACTCCGGCGGATCAAAGCAAGTTCGATATAACGCGGTTTCACCTATAACGCGGTAAGATTTTTTGGCTCCCGAGGATAGCGTTATATTGAGGTAGAGGTGTAGTTGTGGAGACATGAGACCAACATACAGAGATAAGAGGTAACACAAAGGTCAAAAGCATGGCTCAGGAAAGATTCTACCCAAACCCTAACTGCCTCCAGCAGTCCAGAACTCCTAATCAGACCAGGATTTTCCTGCTTCAAGAGGCACTGGTGAGTGGATGGATTGTACCATACTATGTAGCACCAGAGAGAAATTGTATGGAATAAGGGATAATCTGTTATTGGTGAGTGTGACAGAATACACTCCTGTATTCATACCCTACATACTATTGTAATAATCTTAGTACAAAGTATGACTTGTGAGGTATTTGAAAACTCGAAATTTGCTGGTCAGTATTGCCCTGATAAAATATGTGTGGCAACACTGTATGTCATGTTATGAGATTCCACTGTACACTGTTGCTCACACATGTTCCAAACTCCACAGCCCTGCCCAAACTGAGGGTGGCAAACAGGTTTGTCCTAAACAAAGGAATGTGTGCTCTGCTTAATTTGCATTTAAGCAGTAAACAGAGTCATCAAGCAGGGAGGGAAACCAAGAAAGCTCAAACAGGTGAGAAAAAAAGCAGCAGGGAACATCCTTCCACATTGACTCATTGTCTCATAGTGCCCAGCTAGAAATGTTTTTAAAGAGGGGGACTGAAACTATAAAAAGGAGGAATAAACACACCAAGGCACCACTTTCTATCTCCCTGCCCATCACATTAACTGTACCTGAAGCAACAAAGGCAGCATTTGTTGGACTCTCGGAGAAGGGGTCCTGACCTACAGGGTTTGGTGAGTAAGACTGCTGAAAGCATACAGAGAGAAATTTTGCTTGAATCTGATGTAGTTTGTTAAGTTAGGTATTAATAAATGTCTTATCTTTAATTTTCTTGTAATAATTTCTGACTTTTATGCCTCATTACTTGTACTTACTTTAAATATAGCTCTTTGTAGTTAATAAACTCATTTTATTGTGTTATCTAATCCAGCATATTTAAATTGAAGCATCTGGGTAATTCCACTTATTTTCTTAAAGGAATAACGGACATTATAATTTGTAGTGTTCGGGAGAGGGCTGGGCAGTACAGGACATACATTTCTGGAGGGAAATCTGGGAATGGGTGTGTGTTCAAGTCATCCTGCAGTATAACCACAACTGGTGAGAGCCAGAGTGTAACCCAAGTGTGGCTGGCAGGCTGCAACTACACACAGACACCAAGGGTGTGGCTTGCATTCTGGCAAGTTGTTTATGAGTGGTCCAGGTGGGAGCTACTTCAGCAAGCAATTAAAGCACCCAACATTGCAGGGCAGGGGTGACACAGCTGATCATTAATCTGGATTGTACTCTGATAAATAACAGTGAGGAAAGGGCACTACAGAGAGGGTAAGAAGGATAAAGAGAAGGGACAAAAAAATAAAGTTTATAAAGCATCCATCTAAGTATCAGTGACAACACAAAGTGAGAGATATAAGTGGAATGTGTTGCAGGATATGAAGCTAATTTAGACAGGACAGATTAAATAGATGAGAACTGTAGGATGAGATACCTTATTTACCTACATATGAAAAAGGACATTTTACTCTTTTTTTTTTTTTTTTTTTTTAAAGTTCTTTACAGATATTTGGGGTTAAGAATTATGGGAATTGATACGAAATATTTCCTGTTAATTTGAGATCTCTACTTCAGGACAAGGATTTGGGACTGAGGGGTTTCCTCTGCTTCACAATTGTGACATGCAGAGTCAGTTCATGAGCCACAATTATTTGCAGAATGAATTGGCTTCCCCCTTTTATTTTCTCCTAAATTGATCTACTCAATAGCGGAAACCTCTTTTCTTATAATCCAATCCCGAAATAACTGGGTCCCAAAAAGAGAAGGGAGTGGGGCAGAAAAATCTCCAGTTTGTCACCAACCCTCATAAATTAGAACAACGAATATAAATAAATGCACAGTATGTTATTTTTGCATCTTTGGAGAGTGATTTGGAATCTTTGCTATTTAATCCAGATAGAATGAGTACTATGACAGTACATCCCAGGTGAGAGTTGAATAAATATGATTAAGGAACAGGAGTACTTGTGGCACCTTAGAGAAACTAAAATTTATTTGAGCATAAGCTTCCGTGGGCTACAGCCCACTTCATCGGATGCATGCAGTGGAAAATACAGTAGGAAGATATATATATATATATATACACACACAGAGAATATGAAACAATGGGTGTTACCATACACACTATAAGGAGAGTGATCAGTTAAGGTGAGCTATTATCAGCAGGAGAGAAAAAGAACTGTTTGTAGTGGTAATGAAAATGGTCCATTTCCAGCAATTGACAAGAAGATGTGAGGAATTGTGGGGGGAGGGGGGAGCATGGGGAAATAGTTTTACTTTGTGTAATGGCCCATCCACTCCCAGTCTTTATTCAAGCCTAATTTAATGGTGTCCAATTTGCAAATTAATTCCAATTCAGCAGTCTCTCGTTGGAGTCTGTTTTTGAAGTTTTGTTGTTGTAATATTGCGACTTTTAGGTCTGTAATCGAATGGCCAGGGAGATTGAAGTGTTCTCCAACTGGTTTTTGAATGTTATAATTCTTGATGTCTGATTTGTGTCCATTTATTCTTTTACGTAGAGACTGTCCGGTTTGGCCAATGTACATGGCCACTCGATTTTATAGGTAATGGCTATAAAAGCATTTTTGAGTATGCACAGAGGCTAGTGTGAGATCACTATGAGTATAATTTCCATAAACTACTTCCTGGCTCCGAACCTATAAAGCTGTAAGACTATTCAAGGCGAAGCCTGGATATGAACCAAGAACTAATGGCTGGAACCTGAAGCCAGGCAAACTCAGATTAGAAATAAGGCACACATTTGCAAAGGTTATTAATCATTACTACAAACTATGAAGGAAAGTCGTGGATCCTTTCTCTCTTGATGTCTTCAAACCAAGACTGAATGCCTTTCTGAAAGATATGCTCTAGTCAAAAACATGTTATCAGGCTCAATACAGGGGTAACTGGGTGAAATTCTCTGGCCTTTGTTATATAGGAGGCCATACTAAATAATCTAATGGTCTCTTCTGGAATCTTAAAATGTATGTGGAAAATCAGGGAAATGTATTTCAGCACATACCCAGGGGTTTTGATTGGTAATTATAAAAAGTGTCAATACAGATTTTGAGATATTAAAACTTTTTATTATTATTATTACTGAGCATGTTGTGGATCTGGCTCTGTTTTAGGTTTAATCAGTGGCACTAGTAAAAAACATCATGTACTATTTTACTGTCTGGTTTGGGGGTATGCCTGGAACATCTCTACCAGCACAAAATGCTCTCCTCCCAGGAAGAGTCCCCTCCATACAGCCCTTGAGGACAGGGTGATCATGTGTCTCTGATTTTTGCATCCTTCCGGACTAGCCAGTTGAGACAAGGGAAGTGAAAGCAAGCCAGCTAACTGCACATACACTATAAGGATGACCTCCCACCAACCCTATTACTAGCTGAAATCCTACCCTTCCCTCTAACCAGCACCCATGAAGCTTCAAATGAACACCTATTACATGAGCCCTTGAACCACCATTCCCCTGTATTTACTCTGACATACACATGGGAAAAGTCAGTGACCTTTTCTGTAACTGGTGTTCTTCGAGATGTGTTGCTCATGTCCATTCCATATTGGGGGGGGGGGTGCTCGCCAAATGCACTGGTGCTGGAAGTTTTTCCCCTCAGCAGTATCTGTAGGGTACCGGTTCTGGTGCCCTCTGGAGCGGCGCCCACATGGCACAGTATAAGGGGCGCTGCCAACTCCCCCCACCCTCAGTTCCTTCTTGCCGGAAACTCTGACAGTGGGGAAGGATGGCAGGTTGCAGAATGGACATGAGCAACACATCTCAAAGAACACCAGTTACAGAAAAGGTAACTGTCTTTTCTTCTTCGAGTGCTTGCTCATGTCCATTCCACATTAGGTGACTCCCAAGCAGTACCCCTAGAGGTGGGTAGGAATTCACGGATGTGTAAATTACACAGCTCTGCTGAACCCAGCGTTGTCTCTGGCCTGCTGAGTGATGGCATAATGAGCGGTAAACGTGTGACCAGAGGGGGCCACATTGCGGCTCTACAGGTGTCCTGAATAGGGATGCGTGCCAGGAAGGCTGCCGAAGACGCCTGCGCTCTCGTTGAGTGGGCTCTGACAATCTGCAGCGGCGGAACCGTCATAACAGGTCCTTATGCACAATTCATCCTATGCGCTTGGTACATTCTAAGTAGAAAGCCAAGGCCCTCCAGACGTCCAGGGCATGAAGACGCATCTCCTCACTGGTCTTGTGCGATTTGGGACAGAACACTGGAAGGAAGATGTCCTGGTTCACATGGAAGTTGGAGACCAACTTTGGCAGGAAGGCTGGGTGGGGCC